GTTGATTAACATTCGGCTCCTCATTACTTATGCAAATTTATGCAGCCAGCTTGAATTTTTCCTCAAAAAATGGGATTTTATTTTCTACATTTTCAGGCTACAGATTTTCCAAACTTTTATGCTCTGTTTCCCTTTTAAAACTGAATGCCTTTAGCGGCATCCAAGTCACTTCTTGAATGCTTTGCTGCTTAGAAATTTCTTCTGCCAGATACCCTAAATCATCTCTCTCAAGTTCAAAGTTCCACGAATCTCTAGGGAAGGGGCAAAATGCTGCCAGTCTCTTTGCTAAAATGTAACAAGAGTCACCTTTGCTCCGGTTCCCAGCAAGTTCCTCATCTCAATCTGAGACCACCTCAACCTGGATTTCTTTGTTTATATCATTATCAACATTTTGGTCAAAGCCATTCAACAACTCTCTAGAGAGTTCCAAACTTTCCCACGTTTTCCTGTCTTTTTCAGACCCTCCAAACAGATCCAACATACTCAAGACTGGGCAATTTACAAAAGAAAGAGATTTAATGGACTTATAGTTCCACATTGCTGGGGAGGCCTCACAATCATAGCAGAAGCTGGAAGATACATCTCAAGTGGCAGCACACAAGAGAAGAGACCTTGTGCAGGGAAACTTCCCATTTTAAAACCATCTGATCTTGTGAGACTTAATCACTATCACAAGAACAGCAGGAAAAGATCTGCCCCTATGATTCAATTACATCCCCTGGGTCCCTACATGGGAATTCAAGATGAGATTTGGGTGGTCAATATCAATATCAGCAAAGTAATCTCAAGGTAAATGTTCCAGCTGCAAGTGCCACTCGCAAGTATTTTTGGGGCAAATAGGAAAAGGATTAGTGGCAATTGATTAGTGGCAATTCTACATTGCATATTGTCATGCATGGATTTTGGGAGGGGAACATGTCCTGACTCCACTGGGAGAGTTTGGTACCCTCCTGGACTCTGCCTTATGTGCTTCTTTCCTTGGCTGATGTTAGTCTGTATTCTTTCCTTCTAATAAATTGTTAACTGTAACAGCTTTTAGTGAATTCTGTGAGACCTTCTACCAAAATTTCAAACCTGAGGAGGTTTCTGGGAACCCCCAAACTTGCAGTTGGTGTCAGAAATGAGGGATGCCTTGGAGACTGTGCCCTCAAACCTCACAGGTTGTCTAACTCCAGGTAAATACATCAACCTATGAATTATCTACATCACAAAGCAGAGGCACTTTTATGTTTTTTGTTTGAAATTCTCTTAAAGTATGTTTTGAAGATTTATATATTATCTTTTCTCATTAAAAAAAAATCTAGGCATAATGAAATGGAGGCTGGGAATATTATAATGTTCTGGAGGCTGGGAAGATCAAGATTCAGAGGCTATGTCTGGTGAAGATCCTTTTGTGGCACAAAGCATCACATGGGGAGAGAGGATGAGAGAGAGTAGTGAGAGTGCACAAGACAGAGAGAAAATGGGGGCTAAACTTAACCTTTTATCAGGAGTCCACTTCCATGTTAACTAGCCCATTCCCACAACAATGGTATTAATCCCTTTATAAGGGTATCCAGTTTTGTTTCTCCAGCATCTCGATGGAAAGCAGAAGTGATAAGGTGTTGATTTTAAGTAATAATCATTTTGTTAGAGGGGTCATTTGTAATTGTTTGGTTATATAATCCTACTTTTTTGACTTTGAATATAAACTGAATCTAGAAGGCAGAACTTGTTATAATTACTATGCCACACTTCACACATACTGTCTTAGTCCATTTTCTGCTGCTGTAACAGAATACCACAGACTGGGTAATTTATAAACAAAAGAGATTCATTTGGCTTACAGTTCTGGAGGCTGGGGAAGTCCAAGATCCAGAGGCTGCATCTGGTGAAGATTCTCCTGTGGCAGAAAGCATCACATGGGGAGAGAAGGTGAGAGAGAGTAGTGAGAATGCACAAGTCAGAGAGAAAAGGGGGGCCAAACTTAACCTTTTATCAGGAGCCCACTCCCACGCTAAATAACCCACTCCCACAATAATGTCATTAATCTCTTTATAAGGGCACAGCTCTTATGGCCTAAATCACCTCTTTAAGGCTTCGCTTCTTAATATTGTTACAATGTCAATTATGTTTTCAACACATGAATTTTTAGAGAACACATTCAAATCATAGCACATACCTGCTTGGGCTTTGGGCAAGGGCAGGAATGTTACTTTATTCTCCAAATTTAAGTCAGAAGCCATAACTAATTCCAATAGAATTGGTTAGTTTGGACAGAGCTTTGCCCTCAGCATCTAATCAAGAATATTTTCCTTAATGAATTTTCCTGACCTGCTAAAATGTTGGAGCTGAGCCCTAGTCATGATAAGTGGGTTTAAAGTTTATTTTTAACTTAAATTAACAACATGTAGTCTTGACAGTATTTTTGGAGGTGTCTGTCTGCTGTATGTTACTGAAATCAATTGATGTGAAGAATGGGGGTAGACTGATAAAAGGATAGATGCCCAAGGAAGTGGTCTGGAATAGGAGAAGGATATGCCAAATATAGTATAGGGACATTTCTTTGATCATCCTAGTGAGCAAAGATGGACCAGCTGTTAGCCAGGAGGGAACAAATCTCCTTTCCCTTTTTCTTATCTCAGCAGGATCTTGAAGTGCAAGAGAAGAGAGGTGGCGAGAGAAACTGAAGTTTCTGGCTTCCCTGGAGATGTATAAATTAAACTATAAATAAACTAACTTGAACTGTTTAGATGACTATGGCTAAAATGAGGGGAAATTTTGTACTATATTGTGTAGTCATCATCGTAATGGTTTCCGCTAAGCTACACATGGGCTGTTGTAATTCTAAAAAAACACCTAAGCCCACACACAATTTTTGCTGCTTTCCTTCCTTTCTCCTCACAGATTTGCAGAAGATATTTTTGTGGTCAGCAGAGGCAGGAGTCTACTTTACCATTTAAGGGTAGAGTAAGGAGAGAAAATGACTCACTCTGTTTTAGCACATAACCTCCTCATTCTTGATTTTGACATCTTAGTCAGGATTGGACTTGAAAGGATATTTACTCGTTGGTTGTTGCCATACAGCATATTAGTTTCTTTTGCTGAAAAACAAATCACTCCAAAATTTACTGGCTTCAAATAACAAGAACCATTTTCATTATCTCTAATTGTTCCTGTGGGTCAGGAATTCAGAACTGGGCATAGAGGGGATGCCTTGTCTCTGCTTTATAAAATTTGGGACCTCAGCTGAAAGAAGCAAGGATTGGAACAATACTAAGGCTCATTCATTCCCATGTAAATCCAGCTGGAATTATAAGCTGAAGCATCCATATGTTTGCTCAATAGGTTAGTATTGAGCAAAGTACATTCCTCTAATTCTTGAGTGGGTCTCTAACCCGGAAACATTGAAAGGTCATGTCACTCATCTTTTGACCCATCTCCATGTTATATGTAAACACTGGTATATTCTCTTAATGAAATTTTAATTTTTATTCAATTTTCACTAGTTTTCCCACTTAACATTCTATTTCTAGTTTCAGAATCCCATATTAAAGTTGGTCTGTCTAGGCTCCTCTTGGCTCAGACAGTTTCTCAGACTTTCCTTATTTTTCATGACCTTAGCTATTTGTGGTAGTACTGGTCAGGTATTTTTGTCTAATGTTTTTCTCATGGTTAAACAGGGATTATATATTTTGGGGGAGCCTCATCTTTTTAATATAATTTGTCACTGTTGCCAAAGTCTACGAAAATAAAAATGTTTCCCTCCTCTGTTCAACAATCCTTCAGTTTCCCCACTTGTCTGCAGCAGAAAATCAAATACTCAGCACGACATCTAAAGCTTTTCAAAATCTGGCTGTTGCTTTCCTCTTAAGTATAAAGTGTCACTCTACAAACCATTTGAGTTCTTTCCAGAAATGAAGCCCTAACAGTCTTGCAATGCCTGGGCTTTATCCAGGTACTCAGTCCTGGCTAACTCCAGTGGATTCTCTTCCCTCTTGGGAACATTGCTCCTTATATTCCACCACTTATATCATTCGGCTCTGATCCTATACACTTTTCTAAATTTCCCCAATCTAGTATTTACCACCGTTATCATTCAGTCTTTCAATAAATATTGTCTACTTTGTGGACAGGCACTGTTGTTGTATGGTTGAGGATACCTTAAAAAACAAGGTCACTACCATCAATGAGTTTACATTTTAGTGGGACAGGTCACATTTGTAAATAAATAAATGAATAGCATTCTACTTTTATGAAGGAAACAAGTAAAGAGTAGAGATTAAGAAGTACAAACAATGTGGGAGTGAAGTATAGAGAGCCTGGGATCTCCTCTTTGAAGAACACCATAACTGTTGGTTTACTTGTCAGCCACCAGACCTTCCTTCTACTTAGCTGCCTGAGATGAGAGGAGGCCTAACTCAGCTTTGTGCCCCAAGCATCTAGATTAAATGAACAGTTTTGGACTAAATACGCTGAGAGTAGTATCCAAAATTAAAAATCAGTTGCTCCCATTCCTCCCCACAGATGTACCCTTGAAATACCTTTCAAATCTGTTTCTGGAAAAAACATTAATATCCGTTAAGATTCCCATTTGAGTCAAGTATGATAACGAGAAAACTTTCAATTGTCATTAGCATGCTAGCATTAACTTCCTGTTTTACATGTCATAATTCGAAGGTAAATTTTATCTTCCAAATCTCGACCTTCTGGTGTTTCTGGAGTTGAATGGACAGGGTAAAGTCAGATACACTGTGAGTGGGGGAGTGGGGAATTGGCTGTAAGGCCATCCTCAGAATGGTTTTTAAAATTCCGCCTGGAGAACAAGGTTTTAGGGTGGCGTCGTCCTCTACGGCTACCCAGGCAGCCTTCATTAGGAAGGGCGAGCAGAGCCCAGCAGTACACAAAAGGTTTACATTTAATTCAAGCGGGCCACTCTCCACAGTCCACTTATCACCACAGAACCAACCCGGGGGCCGCGCCCCGCCTATTTCCGGGTTGTCTTCGCCGCTGCCGTCGCGTGCGTAATGACGTTTCAGTCTCCTGCAGACCCCGGAAGTGCAACACTAACTTGGTCGGGGCGCGGATCCCGAGAGGGAAAGTCGCAACAACCGCACGAGGGAGTTCGACTGGCGAACTGGAAGGCCACGCCTCCTCCCGCCTGCCCCCTCAGCCCTGTAGCTGGGGGCAGAGCTCAGGTAGGACTGCGTTTGCGGGGTTGTGAGCCCCGGGGTTAGGCCTGGGTCGAAATCCGAGGAGGGGGCTAGCTTGGGTCGGTCTTGGGCGGGGGTCGCTGGTTCTGGGGCCCGAGGCTGTCAGGAACCACGCTGTGTTCCCTGCGGACACCTCTGACCTGTGTCTGGGCCACCGCTGATGGGCAGGTCCCGTGTGACATTTCCACCTCCCAGGCGGGAGCGACACGTGTGTTCCCTGGATGACTTTCCTTATATCTGGGCGTATGGGATTCTGGGAGTCCCTGGAGACAGAGTAATGGGCCCTCCTCCGCTTTCTGGGAAGAGGAGGTATTGTGGTTCTTTGATTAATTTTTTTTCCTGCAAAAAGTGTTATTAACTGCCAACGCTTTACCAGAAGTCATTCACTGCAGATGGATGAAAATGCAGCTATAAAATGCTCTCAAAATTTGTAACATGCATGGGCGCAGGTGGGACGTTTCTCTGGGATGCAGTATGAATTAAGTGTCGAATACTTTTGACTTTGAAATAAAGTAAGTATGTTTTGGAAGCAGTCTTCTCTTTCCCTCATCCAGGTATTTAACATACAGGGGTCCACGGCATAAATCTGCTGGGCCAAGAAACTCATTATTTGTGTTTTGGATATACTGTATTTAGTGACATGCAGTGTTGTTGCATTTGTCCGTTTCTCCCAAGCCCTTAAAAAAGCTGTAGAGGGAAAAATTCTCTGGTTTTTGTCTTCAAGTGCCTTGTATGTTTATGAAAGTACCAATGCGATTTTTTTAATGCAATACATGACATCGTTTGTATTAACACATGCCATGTAGTGCATAATAAATATCACATTGATAAGGTGTATTCTTTATCCCACAATGTGAAGGACAGTTACGCTGTGTACATTTAGCAAATGTAGAAACTGAGTAAGAGTGTTTTTGGATCTGCTTTTTTAAGGCCCCAGTGACAGTGCTGGTACCAGGCTTCTTTTAGACTTTTAAACTAGGTGTTACTTCTACTTAGCCGGTGAAGCCTACACAGAAAAGTTGGGGGTGCTGCGGTAGCTTTCAGGCTATGACTGCTGCATATGGTAGAATAGTACCAAGGCCAAAGGGGAAATATTATCTATGAAACCATGAACATCCACATGTTTATTCATTTAGCAAATATTTTCTGGCAACCTTCAGTGTACCGGATAGTGTTCAGGTGATGGGAAGACAGTAGTGAACAAAATAGAAAGTCCTTTTGCTCCTGGAGCTTACATTCTAGTTGATGGAGAGGTATAATTAACAAGCAAATATATAACAAGTAGTGATTAAGAGATATAGAGAAAGGGTGAGTGCAGTGGCACATGCCTGTAATCCTAACACTTTGGGAGGCCAAGGTGGGCAGATTGCCTGAGCTCAGGAGTTCGATACCAGCCTGGACAACACGGTGAAACCCCATCTCTACTAAAATACAAAAAATTTGCTGGGTGTGGCGGCGTGTGCCTGTAGTCCCAGCTACTTGGGAGGCTGAGGCAGGGGAATTGCTGAACCAAAGAAGTGGAGGTTGCAATGTGTCCAGATCAGGCCACTGCACTCCAGCCAGGGTGACAGAGTGAGACTCCCTCTCCAAAAAAAAAAAAAAAAAAAAAAGATATGGAGAAAAATAAAGCAAATTAAGGGGAAAGAGAGTGCTAGAGGATGCCATTTTGATAGGGTGGTCTATCCCAGCCAGCCTCTCAGATAAGGGAACATTTGAGTGGAGATATGAATGAAGTGAGAGAGTTAGCTCTGCAAGTATCTGGGGAATGAGTTGGCCTAGTACAAAGGCACAGAGACAGGAGCATGTTTGATATATTTTGGAATAGCAAGGATGTAGGCATGGAGGCAACAATCTCAAGAATATTTATTCCGTAATTTGGGCGCATGAGGGATTTTATTTATTTACAGTTTATTTTTCTCAGCTTTCCTAGACAGACCCTGAGAAGAATCTGGCTTCTGTAGATATGTAGAGATGTTTCCACGCTCTTCATTGAGCTCTAACAAAAGTAAGCACTATTTACTCAGTTGTATACAACTTGTACTGTCTCTGTTTTTAGAGTCAGATTGGGTTTGCACAGTAGTCATTGGTATCTAAGTATGGAGTATGTCCCTGTACTATTTCAACTTTACTTTTCACTCATTCTCCGAAGTTTTTCATCATCCCTAACTGAAACTTCATACCTATTAAACACTCACACCTCATTTTCTGTTACCTTCAGCCCCTGATAATTGCCAATCTACTTTCTGCCTCTTATGAATTTGACTACTCTAGGTATCTGACATAAGCGGAATTATGCACTATTTAACCTTTTGTGACTGTCTTATTTCATTTAGTATGATGTATCCAAGCTTCATCCATGTTGTAGCACGTATCAGAATGTTCTTTTTAAGGTGAAATACAATTATCCATTGTGTGTGTACGCTATTAATACATTTTGTTTATCCATTCATTTGTCCATGGATACTTAGATTGTTTCCATCTTTTGGTTATTGTGAATAATGCTGCTATGAACATGAGAGTTCAAATATCTGTTCAAATCTCTGCTTTCATTTCTTTTCGATATCTGTCCAGAAGGGAAATTGCTAGATCACATGGACATTTTATATGTCTCTCTCTATATATTTGAGGAATTGACACACTTTTCCACACCAGCCACCTCATTTCACATTCCCACCAGCAATGCAAAGGAGTCTGGTTTCTGCACATCCTCACCAACATTTCTCCACATCCTTGCCAAACACATTTTTTTGGTTGATAATAGCCATCCTGATGGGTGTAAAGTAGTATCTCTCTGTGTTTTTAATTTGCATTTCTCTAATGATTGGTGATATTAAGCATCTTTTCATTTGCTTTTTGACCACTGGTATATACTTTTGGAGTTCTATGAATTCATTTTAAGATATGATTTAATAAAAATTTTTCGAGATTTATTTGGTGGACTTTTTAAGGGTTTAGAAGGTAGCCACCGTATCTGTTACTGCTTTTTAACTCTTTAATTCTATAATTGTAAAACCTCTCGGTTGTCTATAGACTATGTATCTATAGTAACTCCAAACTTAGGAATGAAAAAAAAAAAACATTTTTAATAATAATAAATAAACCTTTTGGTTCAAATTGCTATGAAAACAGTTCAGAAAAGCCAAAGACTATCTTGGCCTGTTTTGATTTTTTTTTTTCTTTTTAATTGGAAGGAAAGGAGTATATTAAATGGCTGACTGTGCCTGCGTAGTAGATTTCTTTTGTTTTGTAGCTGAGAAGAGCAGGGACCAGAGGAGTCAAAAGTGATGAAGAAACAGAAAAGATGTTTCAGATATCAGTGTAGCAGTTGGATTTGACTAGATGGAGAGTGGCAAAAATCAATAATAGTGATGGATGATGAGCTCCAGAATTGACAGCAGAGAGGGCACCCAGCATCAAAATGAAAAAAAGTAATATAGCTCTACAGATTGGAATAGTATGGAGGGTAGAATGAGGGAGTGCAAATTGCCAGCTTCATCTCAGTATGTAATTCTGAATTACTCAGTTGACCCTGTGTAATCCACTAAGACTACTGTATTCAACAGTGAGTGCTTGGAAGGTATGCACTGTATACAGTCCTATAGGAATAAGCCATTTGTTCAGATCATGTACCACATAATTTCTATTTGTAGAGTAATGAGTTCAATTGAGTAATTTGAGTGTGTAATTTAACAATGTCCAAAACGATAACAATTTTTTAAAATATAATCTGTTAAGAAGGAAGGGAATTTTTAAAAATCGAAAATGTCCAATTGCTCATAAGTTCAAGGTAACAATGTCTTTTTTTGTTGTCCTTGTTAGCCCTGAATGTTTTGTACACTGTCATAATTTATTAGATACTCTTGAGGGGTGCTACATTGAGCTATTTTAGTTATAAACCTCATTTAAATCAATTACTTTGCTTTAATTTAATGAATGAAAAATTGTATCACAATTTTACTTATAACTTCTTGGCAAATTAAAATTGATTACTACAGATGAGATGGCAGATGACTGACTTACTCAAGGTTTCATAGCTAAGTTGCAGAAAAATTAGAGATAGAATTGCTATGGTGCTTTCTCTAATATTTTTTCTTGTCTTCATTTTGGGAAAATGATCTCTTTTGTAATACACATAATTGACATAATTTTTGCTTCAGATAAAATAACACTGTGAAGACTATCAAAGCAAAGCTTATTATTGTGTATTTCCATTTCTTCTTATCAGATTATTTATTTTTTTACTTGGAAATTGCTAAGAGAGTAGATTTTATCTTATTTTTAAACTTTTATTCCTTTTCAATGTTTATTTTAGTTCAGGGGGTACATGTGCAGTGACCTGAAAGGTAGCTTTTGAACTCTCATTCTTGTCTCAGCCTCCCCATTGTGTATTGTTCCCTTTTTTGTCCATGTGTACTTGATGTTTAGCTCTCACATATAAGCGAGAACATGTGGTATTTGGTTTTTTTGTTGCTGCATTGATTCAGTTAGGATAATGGCCTCCAGCTCTATCCATGTTGCTGCAAAGGACATGATTTTATTCTTTTTTATGGCTGTGTGGTGTTCCATGGTGTATATGTGCCACACTTTCTTTATTCAGACCACTGTTGATGGGTATATAGGTTGATTCCATGTCTTGGTGTTTTTGAATAGTGCTGTGATGAACGTATGAGTGCATGTTGTCTTTTTATTAGAATGGTTTATATTCCTTTGAGTGTGTACCCAGGAATGGGATTGCTGAGTTGAATACCTGTTCTTTCTTTTTTAAGTTGTTTGAGAAATCTCCAAACTGCTTTCCACAGTGGCTGAACTAATTTACATTCCCCCAGCACTGTGTAAGCATTCACTTTTCTTCACAACCTCAGTAGCAGCTGTTACTTTTTGACTTTTTAGTATTAGCCATTCCAATTGTTGTGAGATGGTTCCCATTTTGGTTTTGATTTGCATTTCTCTAATGCTCAGTGATGTTGAGCATTTTTTCATATGCT